GGTTTATGAATTATTTACTTTATCTTAAAAGCAGTGGTAAACTATTACAAGGGCTTTAAACAAAAGGTGGCAGCACTAAGGGATTGAGAGAAATATAATTCCTTAAATTCATCTCCATTTTAGGAAGTCTGATATGCAAATTGACTTCAATCTTTTGTAAGGTGTAATAACCTCAAATAACCATGATCTGTAACCTCAGTTTTATTACACACTGCTAACTTAGGTTCTATCAAAACCCATCTTTTCCCCTTCCACTGTGTAAGAAACTCCTATATGTGAATTTTGTCTACTAGAGGGGTTTGGTGGTGCTTTTTGCATTGGATTTTTTTTTGCCAATACTTTAGAAAAATTCCTGCAAGTGCTGAATGGAGAGTGAATTGAAGGATATGAGAACAGATGTGTGGCTCTTTCAAAAGGCTTTTTGAAAGAGCAACAGCAGAGATGAGGGCAGTTCAGACTCAGGACTAGACAGTGAGAATGGAGAACACAGTTCCAATATTTAGATCAACACTTAAATCTTGGGGATGACTTAACAGTAAGAGTTAAAGCAATTCCAGGGGTTTCTGGTTGGGGAAAGTGGATAGGTGTCAGTGCCCTCAATGAGAGGCGGGGGTGTAAGACCAAGTTCAGGGGATAATAGTATGACAAATTTTGTGAGACCTCTCAGTGGAAACAAGTTAGTAAAGGTCTAGAATCAGGATATTTGAAATAAATATGGAGGCCAGCAGTGATATTGACCTCCATATTTATTTGAAAGTGACAGCTGTTAATTGAAGCTTTGGGAAAAGATGCTAGTCCAAGGATATCGTGACATGAGAAAAGAATGCTCGGGATTGAGCTTTGAGGAACACTAGTACCAAACATGAGAAACAGCACAAAGCTATGGAGGAAGCAAGTCGTTGTATTCTAGATGCCTGTGTGTGTTAGTTGCTCAGTTGTGTTGGACTATTTGTGACCCACACGGACCAGAGCCCATCACGCTCCTCTGTCCATGGAATTCTCCAGGGAAGAATACTGGAGTGAGTTACCTGTGCCCTCCTCCATGGGATCTCCCTGACCCAGGAATTGAACCCACATCTCCTGGGTCTACTGCATTGGCAGGCAGGTTCTTTACCACTAACGCCACTTGGGATGTTTTCAATTTTGGTGTTGACAGTGTCAGATATTGCCTAGAGAACAAGCTAAAGAATTAAGTGTTTATTCAATTAAATGGCATGGATGTCATCATTGACTGTAATAAGGGCTGTTGCTTATACTAGTGGCAGAATATATAGTGGGTTTGAAGAGCAAATAGGTAAGAAAATGGCAAAAAAAAAAAGGGAGAAGAACACTTGGGAAGTCTGATGAGGAAGCAGACAGGACTGTTATTGGGGAGAAATGTGAGGGCCAGATTTCTTTTGATGAGAGGAATGGCATATTCAAACTCATGCAAAGGGCCAATGGAGAAATATTTTTTAAAAAAATACAGACCAAGTAAGAACAGAGTTTGTGAGAGTGAGAGGGCAGGGAGTTCAAGCACATGTTGGAAAACTGTTCTTTAATAACAGGAGGGATACTTCCTATAGAGGAAGAGGAGGGATGAAGTATATTCAGATGCATTTGTGAACATCTCTCCGATGACCTTTTTTTTTTTTTCTGTGAAGCAAATCATCAGGGAATAAAGAGGCAGGAATAAAGAGGCAGAGTAGAGAGTCTGAATTGAGCAAGAGAATGAAGAAACACAGTTAAGATTACTGGCAGCCTAAATGAAGGTGGTGACTATGGATTTATAGTAGTACAAACCTAACAGAAAACCATCTCCCACAGCCTGGATGCAGCAGCAGTGTCCAGTTCATCCCGGGCTGGCATTTTGCTAGGCTGACACAATACGGCAGTAGTACATGCCCTTAAATGATTTGTATCTGCTAAGGTCTAGTCAGCTAAAGACCACTGGGCTGAAGCCTGTGGTCTGACAGAATATTTGATGTGTAAGCAAGGAAGTACACTTTAAATGGGGCTCTCCACAGGGGGAGGAGCACATCTTCCTTGTAAGGTCTGGGCTCCTGCTGAGGAATTCTGAGGAAGCTCTAAAGGGAGAGAGACCAGTTCCTGGTTGGATGCTCTTTCTGTAGCAGGATTAGAAACAGGGTTTAACTAAGGGACTGGCTGCTATCCTGCGGTGAGGGCAGTTTAGCAACTGGGTATCCCAGAAAGATGGATGAGAACTGCAAAAGCAGGTCTCAAAGCATCACTGATAACAAAGCCCTGGTCACACACACACTGGGGGTCATGACCTTGGGGAAAACATTTCCTATTAAGCTGCAGCTGGCTTTATCTATGTCTGTCCTCCCAGCTTGCTTAACAGGCAGGGCTGCTGCTTTTTCAGTTTAAGCTGATTTTCAGTCCTTCAGTCCCAGATAGCTTTTTACTCTTACACCAAGCATCCTCTCTTAATAAATGTGACAACTCTTAAAAAAAAAAAAGACAACTTAATCCATACCCTACTGTCCTCGTAACAGGTAAGACTGAATAAAATACCTAATCATAGAATTCCCCTGCTTTCTGACAGCATCCAGGCTAGAGCAAATCTCGTTTCTTAGGCCCTCTCCCAAATTATCCAACCAAAGCCCCAATCCCACAGTAGGTGCTTTTGAACACCCTTACTGACATACCCTACAGTTCCCCACGGTGGATACTCTGCCTCCCGACAGGTACTGAGCTCAACATACTCAGGTCCAGGTGTGGCCTCTGACTGCAGGGCACTGACAGTACAGACAGGGGCTGAGTTAGTGACACAACTTCCAAGACTGGTATTTGCACTTTGCTACAAGACTGACATTCACTGGCACCTTTGTGTCCTTGCTCATTAAAGATTTGTACTAAAACTCAGTTACAAAAGATGTACGGATCTGTATTTCCGTTGAAGGCATGGCAATCCTAAAGACCAACTCTTCCTTTCAGTATGCACTGCTGCAGTTTTAAAACATGTCCACACGTTCCTTAAAGGCCTCCTATCTGATATGGCTTTTTAGCGAGCTACTCAGAACCCAGAAAGACTGTAGCAGAAGCAGTGCTGCTTGCAGCTTCCGAATGCAGCTTCTTCCTGGGTACTTTGCAATGCCCCTTCTTAACCAGCTGTCATGTTGTGAGAAGTCTAAGCCACGTGGACAGGCCAGGTGTAGGTGCTTCAGGTCAAGGATGGCTTCAAGTCACCTCAGCCCAGTCATCAGTCATGTGCGTGAAGACAACTCTAGAAGATTACAGCGGCCAGCTGTTCCAGCCACCCCTAGTCCTTACTTTTCCCAAAAGGTGCAGACTAGAAGAATAGTACCCCTCTTGTCCCCTGTCCAAATTCCTAAGCCACAGAAACATGAGCATGATAAAATGGTTATTGTTTGGGTGGTTACTTAAGTAGCACCAGTAACTGGAACATACTGATCCTACTGCTAGCTATTGTTAAGTATAGCATATTGGTAACATTTAGTAGATAAAACTGGGTGGTTATTCACAGAGCAACTGCACAAAGTATATTCAGTGAGCATATTCTTGGCCTCAGCCTAACGTCCAGCCCTTTTCCTATACGTCCTTCCCCTCATCCCTGAGATTCATTCACAGTGAGCACAATCTTCAGAGAACTTCAGACGGAGGCAACAGCCACCATGTTAGCCATCATTTTGAAAAAAATTCGATTACAAATTAAAAAATCCCAATTACATATATACTTGCCTTTTACAATAAGAACACTAAGTTTACATTTCATAATTGCTAGTTTTTCCAGGTAGATGTGAATGTTTATTGAAACTCATTCAATAGACATTGAATATCTTCTATCCTAGTAGTTTGATTTCAAATCTTAATTTTATGATGTCATGTAAAAAAATGCAATAGAAATCCTTTAGAGTTCCAGGATACTACTCCAAAAACTTAGAGGAAACAAAACTATTTAAATTTTATTTTTAAAGTCTAATTTTAATCCAGACCAAACAAACAAGCCAAAAAGTGAGAAAGCTAATCGAATTAGCAGACACAGATGTACCAAATGTAAAACAGTGGGTTATTAACAGAACTATTTACATGCATATTTACAAGCAATCTTTTTGTACATGAAGTTTTAGTTAGTTGGAAAAAGATTTTTGACATAGCTAAAAATATTACTAAGGTAGGGCTGAGATGGTACCACATTACAGTAAAAGTATTAGAAAAGTGGTTCTCAAGGTTTATCAATTATAAAGCAGATGAAAACTTGAGTGACAAAGATCTAGTAAAATTCTCTAGTAAAAAAGTCAATGCAACTTATGCTATAAAACAAAAATGAGAAGGCCATATAAATGAAGCAGAATAATATTCTAGGTTTTTAGAGTAATGAGGTTAGGTTTAAAAAAAAAAATTCTAGAATTGCAACAAATCCTCAGTGAAGGTCCTGGTTGTTTAGTTGGGAGTTCTTACTTTTTTTAAAAATGCCATTTTAAAAGCCCCTGGTATCAAATAGCATCTGGACATGTAAATCAGTTGTTAATGACATTTCTAAGACTTCGGGTCCTACAGATATTTGTGATTGTGATTCATATTTGAAACTCAATTTATTGAGACACTATATGTAAAACTAAGTGAAAGCTATAATACTCATATCTAAAAAAGGATGCTATATTTTGCAGTTATATGTATTTCCAGGCTAAGAATTTTTCCCTCAAGAAAAGTAGAATTTAAAGGATAAGCTACTAACCAGCTAGCAAAATTTACTTTCAACATTTTTCATTTTTTTCAAAATCGATTTTATTGCAGCCAAAACAGTGGAATTAACTGTACATAATAAACTATTATATATATATACACATTTTAAGTTATAGGGAATAAAGTTTATTTTGGCAGAGAGTGTTAAACAAAATTAAAGTTGCATACATTAGTAACATAACTCAACATCCTTAATTTGGTATAAGTGTGACATTTTCTTGCTTTCCTGTGTTCTGCTAAATCACCATAACCTAAACTGCTTTATAAAACTAATATGCTGAAATTTAACTTTACTGTTTTCGCTTACGCTCTGATTCCAAACAAAACTTTTCATAAGCTTCTTCTATCTCTGGGTCCATCTCATCATCAATATCATCCAAGTACCTGTGAAAGCAGCACAGATGAGGTTTATTTTTTTTAATTCAGAAAATGTCTAAGATACTAAGTCATGAAAGTTATGTGTCTCCCCACCCCCAGGACCCTTTCGACCAACACGTGACAAAATTATCTTGCCAGTCCTACCAATTGCTGATGGGTCTTTCTCCTTCTTCCCTAATTTCTAGTACAAGGCCACATACTGCAGTGCCACAAGTTCATTAGGGCAAAGAGAATATGACGCTTACTAAGCTGAACTTTAGAGGACAACCTGACATTCAATGGCAAGGACAACTTTCAGTTTCCACTGGTGCTCTCAGCAGGGTTGAACCTGCCTAACTGTGCCTGGAAGCACATCCCTGTATTTTTCTCTATTAAGCTAGTATATAAAAGTATGACACTATCAGAAAATCAGACTTATATTTAAAATGCCACTACCTGGAGAAAGAATAAATGTGATTCTTTTTTTTTTTGTTAAACCTACAATACATGAGATGGGATAAGAAAAACTAAAGCCACGGATTTATTTCTGCCCTCTACTTATGAAAAGGAGAATCTAAGTAGCCTGTTCAAATTTACATGAATTGTTAACAGAACTAAGACTAAACCTCAAGTTCCTGGTCCTTCTATATACAAACTGTAGTATGATCTAATGATAAATGAGTAATACAATAAAAGTTTCTTTTGTCATAAAGAATGGTAGGTAAAGATTGAGATATGGGATACAGGACTATAATTTTTATGTCTTATATGTCTGTCAATCCAAACATTTTCATATAGTCATCTGTGGTTTAATCTTAATCCCTTAACAGCCAGGCTTTGAGACTTTTACTGTGTGCCAGGGGGCTACTCCAAGTTATTTATGTATCTCATTTAGGTCTCAAAAAAATTCAAGGAGGGGTACTACTATTCCTATTCAATAGATGGAGAAAAAGGCATAGAACTTGCCCAAAATCTTACAGTATTAAAGTTAATACAATCTATTTTATAAAAACTGTTTGAATATGCTACATTAATAGTTTTTTCACCTTTAAACCATATTTTTTTTCAGTCATAGTGTTTAATATGATTTTCTGAAAAATCTCTGGTAAATAACTACTACATATATACTACTAACATCATTAAATCAAAATGCACATTCTTTCATCATCTTATCTAGTCTAGTGACTCCATCCGCAAGCTGTGGCCACAGGAACTCACAAAGAAAGCAGCTAAAGATGGGAATTTCCTGGCAGTTCAGTGGCAAGGACTCTGTACTTCCACTGCAGGAGGGCTGGGTTCAATCCCTGCAGGGGGAACTAAGATCTCGCCTGCAAGCTGCATGGCATGGCCAAACCAAAAAATGAAAAACAAAAATCAAAAAAAAAAAGCCCACCAAACCCCCAAAACAAAAAATGGATCTAAAGAACTTACGGATCACCACCCCCTGATAAATCTGTTCCATTTTCTTCATAATCTGGAAAAAAGTCTTCTCTTTCAAGTAACTCTTGATATTTCTCTTGGTAATCTATAAAAAAATAAAAAATTTTAATACTGAAAGATATTCATATGAAATGGCCAAGTTACCCCCCAAATTTTTTTTAATATTATTTTTCATTTAAGTAGATACATTTAAATAGCAGTTAAAGTTCCATTTACATATTTTAATATCTTTTACACAACTTACATTCCAACTGGCTTGCTTTATCTCTCCCCTGCACACCACATGCTCATAAATTACACAATTGACCATTATTGGTCACTGACCTTTGACACTCTCAAAAATCCACATGCAACTTAGTTGGCCTTCCTTATACATGGTTCCTTTGTATTTGCTGATTCAGCTAACCCTACATAAGTACTGCAGTACATATTTAGTGAAAAAAATCGCATAGAAACAGACCTGTGCAGTTCAGAGGTGAACAGTATAATATTCCTCTAAATAGATGATGGAAATCAAAGCCAATATGAACGTATCAGAGGACACTTCACAGCCAACATATGTGCTGTTTACATTCTCTGTTTCTTTCCATCAGAAGAGATACTGTCCTAACTTGTTTCTTCCATACTGCTGTTTGCCCTTCCACAAGGAGGGATTTCAATGGAACCTCCTAGCTTCTGGCTCCATTATTCCTTCTCAAGTAGGTAAAATGAGCTATTTGGCTACCAGGTAAAAGCCATCATTTGCTCGAAGTTTCTCAGAGGAGGCTAACCTAGCAAATGTTCTGAGTAGAGATTTTCTTTTCTTCCCTCTCCTTTGAGACAGATGAAAGGTAGATACCTGATAAATGTTTCAGCTATACCAACCTTCCCTTGGTTGGGCTTTCTAAGGCAGTAAGAAGGTGGTATTATAGCTCTCCATCTGCCAATGCCTTAAGGCAGAGTTACTGAGTATCTTTTAAGATGAAAAAGTATGTATAAAGCCCTTACCCCTTATTAGTAAAATGGGTCAGTGTATATTAAAACTAGTTATCTTACAGTCAGTTTCTTGTGAACAACTACCTCAAATTTCAAGAGGATGATATGATTACATTAAACTTGACAGAGACCATGTTTTTCCAAGATTGTCAGTCTCTATAAAACTAATTCCAGTTTAAAGGGTTAGTGATATTTTTGATATCCAATCTTGCTATTTGAGATAATTTTAACTATAAGACTGTCCTGCAATAAATACTTAAAGCAACATATAAAACAATCTCCTAAATGTATGAATGAGTTCACATTCACTCACTCATACACACACACCCACTCACATCACCAGATGACAGAACTCTTACAGCTGGGAGGCTGGTAGACCAAGCGGTCTTAGGAACAAAGGGCTTGGATTTTAAAACCCACAGACGGTCAGAAGGCAAGGTCTTGAGTCCATGTGAAACAGGGAGATGGAATTCATGCCCCACGTCCATCTCACCTACACAAACCCAGGACAAAGAACTGGTATTTCAAGCAAAAGGTGAACCAAGAAAAAAATGAAAAACCTCAGTGGTAAAGGGAGATGGCAAAGCAGCTTGGTTGTCCCTGCCTGCATTTGGAATCAGGACAGAAGTACTGTGAAGAAACTGGTTCCCCAGATAATTTTTTAAAATTATTTTTAATTGAAGGATAATTCCCCAGAGAATTTTTAACAATGGGTATGCATTTCAAATTTCTATTATCCTCATAAAGAATCTCTATGACAAGAAAAGAAAAAAATTTGTTCCAAGCCAGTGTTACCCCTGCGACTCCTGGCACAGCAAATACAAACTCCCCTTTGGATACATGTTCCTACAATCCAAGTCTCAAGGCTCTTTCATAAAGAAAAACAAACAGGCAGTAGTTAGAATGCTGCAGCAGTCATGAAAGGGCCATAATATATGTAACTTAACTTCAAATGATTTAAGGAAAAAGAGTGAATGTGGAAAGAACAAATGATAAATGGAGAACACTGTTAACCAAAGAGGTACATCTGAGTAAAAGGCAAATGGGTGTTCTTTCCACTGTTTTTACTTTTGTAGCTTTACAGTAAGTTTGAAAACATTCCAAAAGTTTAAGAAAGCTAAATTATGAGATTGCAAAAAAATCACAACATGAAGTAATTTTGTATATGACAGAAGTAACAGTAGGGTTAGAATGAAAAATATGAAGCAAAACTAAGCACGTTTAGAATAATGAGAAAAAAGGCCTTGAAACTTTAAGATCAAGATACTTTTAACAAAATTCAGAAACAAAACTGTTTGAAAACAAAAATGAATTTCCAGTCACCAGAAATAAGTAGGAAAGACAGATTAGACAAAGACGAAGATCAAAGAACCAAAATAAGTCAAGGCAGCATCAACGAGTAAGGGGAAGAAGGAAAATCTGTCTCGCCAGACATAGCAAGATTTACAGTATATAAGAATAACTAAGCATGCAATACTGGGACTACCCTGGTAGTCCAGTGGTTAAGAATCTGCCTGCCAATGCAGGAGACACAGGTTTGTTCCCTGGTCCAGGAAGATCCCACATGCTACAGAGCAACTAAACCTGTGTGCTCTAGAACCCCTGAGCCATGAGAGAAGCCACCGCTCCCCGCAACTAGAGAAAGCCTATGCAGCAATAAAGACCCAGCAGAACCAGAAAATAAATTAAAATTTAAAAAGAAGGCAGTATCGACGTCAAGACAAAAGATCCATGCTCACAGACACAGGAATATGATGCAAATTTATTGGGAGCTACATAGTACACAGAGGGATATTTTATCCAAGAGAGAAAGCATCATCTGTGCTGAAATGAGGAACTATAGAATATTTAATTCCTACCATATCTCATATACAAAAGCTAGCCAGATGGATTAAACACCTAAATATAAAAAGCAACAGGGTTTAGAACACAACAGATTTGACTGTAGTAAGGAAACTAAGTCACAGACACACATAAGACTCTAACACTCAAAGCTTCTACATGATAAGACAAACAATGGCAAGACAGCACATACTGGGAGAAACTAAGGATCACTTTCCAGACCAAGTAAGTAATTACAAATCACTAAGAAAAACAAATGATTCAACAGATATGTGAAAAGGACGCAACCAGGTGATTCTCAAACAAAGAAATCAAAAGGTTAATAAAAACAAAAACCAGAAAAAGAGGTCTGGTGAAAGAAAAATAAGTCTGGTAACAGTAAGTGTTACCAACAATGGGAAACAGGAACTTTCATATGCTGCTGGTGGGAATATTAAGCTGTATAATCACGATGGAAAGCAGACTAGCAACATCTAGTGAAGCTGAAGATGCATATTGCCTATAATCTAACAATTCTACTTCCTTACCCTAAGGAAATTTCTCTATGTGCACAGATTCTTAAAGGTGTTTGCATGGTATTATGGGTAGTATTAAGTGTGAAGCACTTCCCCATTGTAAAAAAAAAAGGGTGGGGTCCAAGGGGGAGGGAAATCTATAAATTGTGGTTTACTCTCAGTAGATTATCATTTGGCATTTATATATCTCAACACAAATAAACACCAAAAATACTGAGTAAAAAAATAAGCTACAAAAAGACATGCACAATAAGGTACCTTTCAGGTTAATACTACTGAGGATGGTAATACCTGTAACTTACAAATACATGAAGTAAAAAGACAACACAAGGACACTACTGTCAGGACAGTGATCACCCGAGCAGGGAAATTCTAGGACTGGACTTGAGGGCGAAAGATCAATTACAGCAACAGAAAATGGTCTAGTATTATCTATGCAGGTGCATTTCTTTGAAAAGATCCAAGATATATAATGATACAGTGAAACTGGTTTATCTTGACAGTGAATCAAACTGGCCAGTTTTGAAATTCTCAACAATACAAAAACCACCAAAGAGGTCAAAAGAGCCGCTTAACTTTTCAACTTTAAATTGTACTTATGTCTGTAATTCATAATTTAAAGTTGAGAAGTTAAGCGGCTCTTTCGACCTCTTTGTGCTAGAGGCATAGGACAGTCAATGCCTGCAATCCAGAGCAAACAAATTAGAAAATTCTGATAACCTAGCTGTAAGGTTGTACTAAATGGGAAAATTTTCTCTTGCTCACAGTTCAGTTCTATTTACCACAATTAAAGCAATCATTTTACAAATGGCTTTTTTCTAGAAGAAGTGTGCATAGATTTAGATTTTACTTAACTGACCCACCAACTATTAATAAAATCCACAATTCTTAGTATCTGCAAGTATTAACCTATACCAATGAAAGTTGCCGACTATATAGTGAACTAGAACCCGTTCATTCTAACTACCTGAAAAGTTTAGAATATTAAAAATAAAGTTATTAGAGAAAAGATAAAAATGGTTGCATTTAATTGAGGGATTCTTCCAATCCTTCACTATTAAGGTGACAAGGTACTATATACTGAATCAGATCTTCAACCTGAAGTGGTTCCAAATGGTAACTGTTCCAAATGGTAACTGGGAGAATATTCTAGTGAGACAAAACTTTACCCTATATTTTAGAATGATGTGAATTCTTCAAAAAGCTACAACTTCATGCTGGTGAGGGTATGGTTTTCTGTAATTCGATATCTTACCAATAAATGGGCAGAAAATGGCTGAGATGACATACCTGGATCAGCTGCAGTGAAAGGAACACCATCAGATGTATAAAATGTTGGCTCATTCTAGGAGGAATCAAGAGTGATTAAAATATGTTATTTCAGAATTGATTTTTTAAAAGCCCATTAATTAATAGAACATGGCTGAGGTCAGTTAACTGTACCTGATAATGCAATAACAAGCAAAAAACTTCCCAGCAGCCACTTCCATTTCACTGGAAAAGTCTACAGTCTTTAGATGACTATTTTCTTGTCTCCAGTTTCTATGTCTAACCCTGCTGTCTACTGCCCATCACACTCTAAGTGACTTTGGTCAGTTGTGCATTGTGATTTCAGGTCAACTGATTTTTAGCTGTCGTTCCCACCACCATTTTTTCTTTAAAGCCATCTCCAAGAGACTGGGTTATAATAAAAGCATTCCTCCATGGTTTCTTTATGCCTGTCCTATTGAGAGCTTCAGAGCATCACTGGCCTGGTAACCATTTTCATTTTCTTAATTTACTAAAAATGCCAGTAAAAGTTTGAAATACAGGCCTTTGATCATGAATTCTCTGGAAAAATTGCTTCAAGGAATTCCTATACTCACCCAAGTCCAAGCCAAGCCTTATCAATTTCCCTTGCCTTTAAATGGCTCTTTCTCTAGTCCACCCTTTCACTGAGGATTCCGTAACTGCCATGTGACCCTAAGTCAGAGAACTGTTATATTAAATTCTGAGAACTGCTTTATATAACTTATCTACAAATTACCAGAATCTAAATTCAAGCAATAACCAAACTTAAAATGCAACCACTGGCATACCATAAAATAATTAGGATCATTTTCAGGTGTTGCTTCCCTGTATGTTGAAGCTGCATGGACTCTACCCCAGTTACTTGACCGGAGTTCTACAAGCTTCAAAAGCATCTGTTTTACATCTCTGCAGACAAAAGTTAAAAATGAGTTAAGATGAGCAAGTGTTACCATTCTCTAATATATCACAGATGCTTAAAGCTTTGCTTTAAAAATTTAACATGCATTGATTTTCTAGACATTTCCTATAATGAAACAAATTTATCTCCTTTAAAAAATGAACATCACTCCTTTATAATACTGCTATGGGAAAAAAAAAAGATTTAGTACAGTTATGCTCAAATGAGTTGTGAGCCCAAGTGGCAGGCCAAGCAACTGGAACAAGATTCAGAGATCAGGGCACAGTGAAAGACATACTTGGACTTGATCAAGAGGCATTTCACTGCCATAAAATAAGGAGGGGAAGGATTCTAATTTATATCAAAGGATGAACTCCTACACCTTAGAAGTTAAGGAGCTTATCCCATGGTGGTGTAAGGAATGGCTTATTTTGTGATGACCACATGTGATAATACTGCAACTGCCACCAGAAACCCCAGAATGTTTTTAATTATTTAACTTTTTGTAAAAATAAAGACACAGAAACATTCAGGATCGATCCCAATCTCCTGGAACCAGGGAGGAAATATTTCTTTGAATCATCACAGGTTACATTCATTTCCCACTGTAAAGACTAGAGCCACGCAGTCACTTGACTACAGGATAGTACAGGACTGGCCCCTGGAAACACAACTAGGCTCTCCTGCCTCCCCTCACTGCTCACACCTTAACATGGCTACCCTACCATTACTCAAACAAGTCCTTATAATAAACAAAGCACTGACAAATGCCCCCGAATCACTACCTGTTGACCTGCTTGAACAAGGCTTCCCTCGGCTTGGACTGAGGACCCTGCCCCAGATGTGCCATTCTAACTACAGTGTATGAAGGGAGTGCGTGCGAGAGACAAAATAGCTAATACAAAACGGGGAGCCACCAGTCTCCATCTGGAGCTACCACGTACACGGATGTGGTCGTTGTGACACGTGCAGGGGGAGAGGTGCGGAGGAATGGGAGGGGCAGGGAGGGTGTCCTTTGGGAGTAGTCTGCTGCTCGCTCTTCCTTCCTGGCCTTGCCCTGGGCACACAACTTCCACGGCTTTACACAGTCTCCTCATGCCCTAGGAACTGCACAGGCTTGCTGGGCTTCATGCTCCTGTCCAACTCATAGATAATGGGAATGCCAGTTGGCAGGCTCAGCTCCCTGCCAGCCTTTTCAGAGACCCTCTCCAGATGCTTGACATGGCCCCAGAAGGTTGGTGCCATGGGCTACAGTCAGTACTTCCTTCCTCTCCTTGACCTGGGGAATAACTTCTTCCAGAAGAGCGGAGCTATGGCGATAGCAGCCCTCCGACTCTTGCAGAAGGGCAGCTGACCTCCAGTGAGACCAGTGTGCCTTTGACCCTCTGACGCCATGGGAGAAGAGGGACTTCAAAGAACCACTCCTAGATCTTGACCTGGGCCTCACTGTGCTCGGCAGCAACTTCTGCTTTCCCGAGGTCAGACTCCCACACTGCCGCCCGCTGAAGGGCGAGTCCTCACCTCGGAGAGCCACAGCCGGTCAGCAGCATCCAGCACTGCTCTCTCATGCACTGAGGTGAAAGCTACATGCTTGTACCCCACTGCCTAGCTCCCGCTGTCTTTTTTTTTTTTGGAATAAACAGCCTTGACACTTGTTCCAGGCAACTGTGACTATATATGGCTCTCAAAGGTAGTGGGATCCTGCTAACATTTTTATACCTCCAACTGGATTTACAGTTGTACCTTATCCAAGTATTTACTGAATTTAAAAGTATTAATCATTTCTTTTAATGGACTCACATTCCCCCAGGAATATCTTAACAACTTCTATCTATAAGCATAATTAAAGGAAGTGGCTAGGTGAGCAGAACCCATAGGTAAAGGAAGAAATTTCTGTGGATCTATTAAGATTATTCCGATAAAGTACAACGGATTAAAAACACCCCCAAAGAAAAAGCAAGGAATATCTACTGACTATCTATACTAGTTCTTTTCCTACCTGCTGCAATTTGCATCTAGGACAACATTTTCAATTCTCTGAATAATTTCTTCCATGTCAGTCTTTCCTTTTTCCTTCCAGGCATCTTCTAAAACTGACCCTGTCAACTAAACAAGCAAGTATCAGTGAAAAAAAAAAAGGAATTCAATGAAGTATAGAAATTCTAAAAAGATCTTAGCAGCAGTTCAAGCATTCTTTAAACAGGATGAATTTAGCAACTTAAATATTCCCTATTATTTTCTACCATCTAATATTCAAGAATCACTATATTTTGTTCTTCTTGACAAGGAAAAGGAATGAACTATAGCAGAAATTTAATCACAGGTTTTATATGCCAATGACTATACAGTAGATTTGCTGTATGACTAAAATAGGTATAAAATTTTAACCAACATCACTTTTTAATTTATATAACATCCAGTAAGTATAGAAACTCAGAATTTAAAAAACACAAACTTCATCAGGAAAAAGTTAAGGACAGAAACAGGTAATTCACAGAAACTGTGGGGAAAAAATTGCCTATACATCAAAAAAAGCTTAAATTCACTTGTGATTTTTCACCGAGGAAATGCAAATTAAAATGTTATTGTTTTTACTCATCACAATGATAAAATCTAGGATTGATTCTCCCATCACTGATTAAGGATATGGGGAAAGAGGTATGCTCATTCACTGTTGGTGGGAATACACTCTGGTTAATAAGCATTTGGAAGGGAAATTTGGCATTATCTATCAAATTAAGGTATACATGCTCCTTGAGCCACCAAATCTATGTGTAGGAATTTAACTTACATAAACAATTGCATATATAAAGATACAATTAAAGATTACTGACAGTGCTGCAGTGGCTAAACTGAAAATAACTGTTCAAGGATGGAATGGATAAACAATGTGCATGCATACAATGGAACACTAGGAAGCTACTGAAAAAAGAGCCATGCAAAAATCCAAGATTCTCATCGGGTGATTAAAAAAAAAAAAACACAACAGAATAAGATCTTATGAGAGCATACATACAGAGGAAAGGAAGGAAAGGAACTTTACAGAAAGGGTGAAGAACTTCCATTTTTTACTTTTAAATTTCGCTGCTCATTAAGCAGTAAGCATATACTGCTCTTCCAATATTTAAATTCGAGACAAAAAAGTGTTTAACTCAGATAACTTAATGGTGAATTTGTGTATTCTATGTATTGTATTTCCCTTCCTCCAAGTTATGCACTAGAGGGATAAAACATATTTTTTTCTTAAAATTTAAAAAGTAAAACCCACCTTCAGTAATTTTACTGCACAAATTAAGTTGTCATCCATAGGATTAGAGAAGAGGGCATTCAGCAACTCCCGAAGACCGACCTGAAGAATGTCTGCCCTTGTAACCTGTCCATTTGTCCCTTTGATCTTTTGGGGCAAAAGAAAAGAAAAAGCAACCATGCCAAAATACAGATATATAAATGGTTTAACAAAATGTTGGAAAAATAAGGAGTTTTAACAAAACGCATGGTCAGGATTATTTAAGCTTCTTAATTTTACTGCTTCATAAAGCAGTCTCTAAATTTAACATCTTTTGGGGAACACAGAGCTTTTTTTTTTTTTGGCTTTAAACTATTTAAAAACACTTTAATTTATATCAGAATGGAACATGTATCTCAGCTCTCTGGCTTGAAGAACTATAAACTCAGGAGTCATGTTTTATCTTTATCATTCTCCCTACACATATCATTATTATTTCTACACAGGAAATTCAGTAGCATTCTTAAAGTGACAATTCATTTAAAGCACATTTGATATTGGTGCTCTTATTTGGCTTAATACCAAAATAAACTAAGATTAAGGCATGAGTTGTTTTTTTTTTTAATTAAGGCTATCTATGGTAAAAATGGACCGTCAATTAGGCACAAGACTGAACAAAGATCTAGATGCACTGAGACATACATTTGATGGTGGATTCATGTGTCTTTTCAGTGGCATGTACACTACTAAATGCCCAAATCAGGGTTTTAAGAACACTATACCTGTATCTAGTAATAACTAGTCAAAAAAAAAAAAAAAAAAAGCAAATCCATTACAAAGTAACATTCAGCACTTATGTTGCCTACCAACAAGCATATACTCAAGTATACCACCAATTTAGCTGTAGTCTTTGCACAAATACAGTTTACGTGGAAAATTAATATATACAATAGGACCAAAAAGAACTACCGAGGGCGAGTTAGGTGGGGAAAAAACCACCTCAGGAACTTTAATCTCTCCCCTCTTCACTCAAAGCTTTGTGCTCTGCAGGGCAAGCTGCTTTTGAGTCACCATCTGAAAGTCAACAAACTAAATGTGCTAATATTTATGAAACAAGGATTCAAAAAAGTGTGACTGTCTGTATTCCAAAAGCTTAAAATCACATGTAAACCATGGCTTTCCAAAAGTATATAATGACTTTAAAGTGCTTAGTAACCATCTCCCAACACCCTTCCCATGAACAGGAAGACAGAATGGTATATGTGTTCCATTTGAGGACAGACCCTGGTGGCTTAGTGCTAAGTAATCTGCCTGCCAATGAAGGAGATGTGGGTTTGATCCTGGGGTCAGAAAGATCCCTGAAGAAGGAAATGGCAACCCACTCCAATATTCTTACTGGGAAATATGGACAGAGGAGCCTGGTGGGCTACAGTCCATGGGGTCACAAAAGAGTCAGTCACGACTTAGCGACTAAACCACCACCACCACAACTACCATGAGTAGGCACTGAGACTTTTATCCTCTCCATTTCATCCCTAATGTTGTAAAAGACTACAGTAAACACAAATCCCTTGAAATTAATTTATATTCTTAGGCTTTGTCACTACTGAAAAGTACTCACCTCCAGGTTAAGATAAAGTTCTCCCAGAAAGAGTACAAAGGCATGGAATCGTTTTCGAGTCACTTCATCCCCTTTTGCAGCTTGATCTTTAACTTCATATTCAGTCCGACATCTAATAAAGACACCTTTTGTAATCTCATATTGCTTTGTTTTTTAAATAATCAAGTAAGATAACCATTTGTTAGTGTGGTTGTTCACAAGCAATACAGAGGCAAGCACAATGCACCAACATTTTGATTTTCTGTAATAAAAGTGTTCCTGTCTATTGCAGAGATCAGAATATGTATTATCTTTCACACAATGATTCCTAGTTTTAAGAAACTGGTAACAATAGTTGAAAATAAGCCTATTAGATCAAGTTTGTAACAAGTTACAGCAGCACAGGTTTCATGAGGTTTGTTGTATATTGGCACTAAAAAAACAAAACAAAACAAAACCCCAGCACCTCATTTATTGTCTCACTAGGCTTCTTAAGAAAGCACTGTTGGTTATCTTTTCAAACATATTAACTCATCAGAAAAAAAGTTGGGATATCTATAAATAGAATACTCTGGTTAATAATGGAAAGGATCAATTAATTAATGCCAATTCAGTTAACCAAGCGCCTTGGCTACTTTGTCCTTCCTTTCCTGACTTTTCAGGAAAGAGCTTTGATGAAGTGACCTTTTGGTTCTATCAATGCTATTATACATTAATATACATCAGTTATGTACAAATGTAAATCCCTACCCTTGTGCATGATTGATTTTCTTGGTGAGAGGAAAAGACCCTAAAACTTTAAAGATTTTCAATTATAAAAGCAATACATGGTTATATTTTGGTTTTAACCTTTTTGAAATAAAAAGAACAAAGATATTACAACCTAGAGGTAACTGTTGCAAAGGTAACTTCTATCTTTTTTCAAAGTATGTCTACATTTTTCAGTTAATCAGATTATTACCTTTTTGCTTGTTACATGAGTAGCATTTCTCCACGTTAATAGCTTTGACCATATCCCAATATTAGAGAAGCATACACAGTGGGCACATAATCAGAAGTGTCAGAAGACTGGTCCTCAGCCGTGACTACACAGTAGAATCACTTGAGAGAACTTTATAAACCATGCCCAGGCTCAACTTCAGTCTAGTATCAGAATTTCCCAGAGCGGGGGCTCAGGTCATTTCCCAGGGTGAGCAGCACAAGGGAAGATACGCAAGCCTTTCTGCCATCCTACCTCTTCAAACGCCTACTTTTACACCTTTCCAGCTCTAACTTGTACTTCTTTAATTATTAGGTAAATTACCTATCTTTTTATAAATTTGTCATTTACATTTTCCCAAACTATACCTATCTGGAATCATTCCAAATATTTCTACTAAAATACTTGCCTTTTTCTTACTCATTCCTAAGAGGCCCCTCTCTTCATATTAAATAAATGGGCTCACTGCCATGTGTTACAAATTTCTCTATTTTTAATTTACTTCATATAAATTATGACCCCCAATTTTATAATCTATATTTAATTAAGTTTAATCTCTTTTAGGGCCTGTGGGTATTATATCTTAAAGGGTTTTGCCAACATAATTTTTTTGGTCAATTTTCCCCTAGTATTTACTGTTTTACTTTTATATTTGAAATACATTTTGGTGTAGAGAGTGAGACAAGAACCCACCTTTGATTTCCCCCACCCCAAATGACTAGCCAGTTACGTCAGCAGCACAGTTTGTCTTCTACTAAAGTATTCGAAGTTTCACCTTCACCAAAAGCTTAAGTGTCTCTGGAGTGTACTTTTGGAATCTATTCTGTTAAAGTGCAGCTTAACCACACGATGGAATACTTTGCAACCATTAAAAGTGTTTTCAAAGAATGGGCAAATTAAAATAAACTCAAAAACAATTTATTGATTAAAAAACTCAAATTCTAAGAAAATTTCCCTATATTAGCTCATAAATTCAATGTCATCCCAAAACATCAAAATATACTAACAAGGTCTGTGTAATTTCACATGCTGATTCTAAAGTCTGTAGAAAACAAACATGCAAGAGTAGCAAAGAAGACCACACACACACACACAATATGGGGAACAACTCGACTAGTTGTGAGAAAATTAAGAGCTTTTTAATAGCATGGTAGTAAGTCAGGAAGAGAAAAAGTAATGAATAGAATACAATTAAAGTCCAGATTCAATCCAAATGTAAGGATGTAGTACAATAAAGGTAGCACTTCTAATCAATAAGGAATGGATCATTCAAAAATGTAGTATGGGAAAAATTGGTTAAATGTGTGGCAGTAAGTGAAATTAGATCCTTATTCAAGCCAAAAGTAAGTACAAAGAAATACGTAAAGTGACCATTTTTAAGATCTTGGAAAAACAAAAGGCTGTTCCAGGCACAAAACCAAAGGCAGAGACCATTATTGAAAAAAGACTGCTATATTTGAGTATAAACTTTTAATACTATATTCAAAATAAGAATGGTCTGCCCTATTCTTCCCTGCAATTTCCTATGAAGTACAATCTTAGCAAGAAGAATGCTCAAATTCTAGCATGTTTAGGAGGAATTCTCCTTCACTCTTGTGCGTTCACACTGACCTTTGAAGTAGCAATTGGCGGAAGTTGCCACTCTGTGGGCTAATTGTCAGATGATGGGACAGGTAGTTACAGAGGCGCGCTCCCATGTAAGAGAAATTGGGGATAGATGTGGCCTTTCAAAAAGAAAAAAGTTTTGTATGACACAGATACATCAAATCATTAATGCAAACACTTCACAGCAATATTCTAAAGAGGAAAAAACATTCCTACTCAGTACTATACAAAAAGGTACAAGTCATTTATGATTGTTAGGCATAAGGAAATTAACTTTCCCTTCCAAACTTACACCAAGAACCAGAATAAATACAAAGAAAAATATTAAGGCACGCTCTCCCCATCATTTACCTGAGGTTGGCAGAAAGCAGAGATAATCTCTTTGCTCATTTCTGCATAAAATACGTACAGGTACCCAGCTGCATAGTGCCAATTAGGAAGAGTATTTGTGAAACTATTGATCAGAGGTATCTTTCAGGAACAGGATGACACCAACCTTGGCATCTAGCTGTCCAGAACAAGACAGGCCTGTTTTGTGACCTTGGACATTACTAAACCTCCCTGAGCTTCACTTTTTGATTCCTATAGAGGTAATTAAGATACCTGATGCAAAAGATTAACATTTCAGCAACACTCCCAACACTCAAGGTAAAGAGAAAATAAAAAGAAATAAAATATTTTTAATAAGACAGTGGAAAAACACTGAATGTCAAAGACTGGGTGATACAGCCAAAGAAGTCCTCAGAGGTGTAGCTTTCACTGCAGCTTTTAAAGAGCAGGAGAGCACACATCAAGGAGCTTATCACAAAGGCAGCGGTTAGCCAGAGCCCAGACCGAACCAACGGCCTGACGCCCCCCGCCCCTGTGCTGGGTCTAGTTACTCACGGGTCACCTTAGACAAGTCATGCGACCTCTGTTAAGCTATGTATAAAATGGGGATAAACGTAATACCTTACCACCACCAAGGATTAAGTGAGTTAACTACAGGTAACTACAGGTCAAGTGTTTAGCACTGCCAGCATGAAGTACTTCATAAAGAGAACATTTTATTTCTAATTACTTCCTTGCTCACATAGGAACCTGTACATTTCTCATCTAGGAAGACAGACTGATTGTATTGACATTTATATATATAGTGTATCTGGTACCATAAAAGACTTAAAATTCAAATTTTATACTTTTCTCATTATTGGCACTGCCTGTTTCCCTTTGCTCTTAAAATTTAAAGTAAATTTAAAGGGAACAAAACTGGTCATTAAAGTTTCCTGCATCCCTGCCATACTCCAACTTTTTTTTCCACTGACAACCAATTTTAACTCTTCAGCTAAAAAGGTTTTAACCTTTGTATCTCCATGCTCGATGATATGAGTTTAGATATTTCTTACTAGTTTCCCACCAAGGAAGATGAACAGTTTTCATGTCAAAGTAGGATTCAGGACAAACAGAGCAGTTCTATCTTCCTAAAAGCTCAGGTATTAAAAAAAAAAAAAATCTAAGAACTGGCCAGGTAAATATTGGAGTCTAGAAACAATTGAGAACAAACTAGAAAAATAGTCAAATGAAACACGAAGTACAGTTAAAAAAAGAAAAATCGACCTGCTATCATAAGTCGCCCTTTCAAATATCCAAGTTAGAGCTGGTCCCTCAGCAATGACTTAAAGAGAAACATAACCTTGGGCAGCGTTTATCTCCTATTGTTTTTGGCCAGTCTCTCTCACTGACCTTAAATTTATCTTCAAAACTGAGTGCTATGTTTTCTCCCTTAGAGTAGCATTAATGTATCAATGAACAATATGCTAAGATTAAAACTAAACTTTATGTGAATAACCTAGACTGACATGAGATTTTTTAAGGAATTAAAATAAAAATCCTTGGAAATTTTAAAGACAAGCAGAAACTTTAAGATTCAAGTCAAGAGTGTTTGTAGTCCTTTTTTTTTAAAATAAAGAATCAATTCATGAGGCAAAAAAGTTCTCCCATAACTTTTTCTCCCCTACTCCAATAATGGCAGATTCTTGTAAAACAGGGGTTTGGAAAAAAGCAAGATATTCATGTAGTGTCCTCATAAGTGTCCAAAGCTCCTTCCAAATGCCTGTACAGAGCCTTGGCTGGATCCCAAACTACAGAAATTTTGTACAACAGAGACGTGAAAGCTCCCATGAACCATAAAGAGTCAAGGAATGTGGAGACTGGTGAACATGAACATGGCTCCCCTCAAGGAGCAGCCACCATCTTCCGGCATCAGGGAAGCTGTTCAATGAGCGCCCCAGGCTGTCAGCCAACCTACCTGTTGATAGATGAGTTCCACAAGTTCTTGCAGAGCATCATCTGTTGTAACCCAGCCATTGAGGGTCTCTGCAAACTGTTCAATTTCAGTTTCAAAACTGCCAGGCTGTTCTGTAAGATGATTCAAAAAATCCTGAACATATTCTGATAAAGTAGGATAATCCTCACAGCCATCCTCATAGGATTCCTATAGGTCAAAGGTTAAAAGAAAAAAAAATTAATACATGCAACTAGCTAAAATAAACATGAGGCAGCTTTAAATGGAAATGTCTCTAGCTCAAATGGTATTTTAAAGAATCTTTAACCTGATAAAATGTGTTATTTTCTTCAAAAAGTTCAGTCCACTTTTTCCTTGCCCAACAGCCAAAATGTGGTAACAGAAGGGCTCCATTTAGCTGGGTAGAGAACTGTCTTCCCCCCTCTGGAAGATTTACAAGATGACTAAGAAGTAAAGTTTAAACCAGTATTTCACTATAAGACCAAGATCAAAGTTAAGAGTTATAATAAGATTCAGGATTTGTTTCAAAATGGAAGGGGGGGGAGGGACCAGAGATACAGAAACGAGAATGACCACATGTAGTTAATGACTGAGGCCATGGGCATTCATTATAATATTCTCTATCCTTGTAGACATTCAACAATTTCTATATTGGAAAAAAAAGTTTGTCGTCTGTCAATCTCCAAAGATAAAAAATATATATACTTTAAATGACTACAAAATATCATAGTGTACAGTGCTAAGAGACTTTCTGGCTGCCATGTTCAGCCAATCTTGATAGTAGCAATAATTTCCAATTAATATCACTATCATTCCAATGTTCATAGCAGCACTATTTACAATAGCCAACACACAGAAGCAACCTACATGTCCATTGACAGATGAATGGATAAAGATGTGGTACTTATATATAGCCATAAAAAAATGAAATAATGGATGAACCTAGAGATTATCAAAATAAGTCAAGACAGAGAAAGACAAAGGTCATATGATGATTGCTTATATGCACAATGTTAAGAAGTCTTTAAAAAATGACACGAATTTATTTACAAAACAGAAATGGGAAAAAAACTTACGGAGAATGGGATCAACATATACATACTACTGCACACAAAACACACAATTAATAAGGACCTCCTGTGCTGCAAAAGGAACTCAATACTCTGTAAAGAGCTATGTGAGAAAACAATCTAAAAAAGCAGATATATGTACAAGAGCTTCACTTTGCTGAAACTAACACAACATTGTAAATCAACTATACTCCCAATAAAGTTTTTTTTATCATTTTAAATAATGGCAGAGTGTTAAGTAGGGTGACTGATGCAAAAGATAACACATCTGAGTATCAATCCTTACGTTCACAATGTCTGGAATACCACCCAAAGCATTCTGAAGTCTACTTGAGTGTTATTTCCTTCTTCAGGGGATCTTCCCAACCCAGGGATCAAATCCAGGTCTCCTGCATGGCAGACAGATTTTTTACCATCTGAGCCACCAGGGAAGCCCAAAAGTTGACCGATGTCTGCTTCATTATCTGTTTTGTTTTTGTTTTGCTTTTTAGTCCATGAAAGTGATAGTGTTAGTCGCTCAGTCATGTCTTGAACTCTTTGTAACCCCAGGGACTGTAGCCCGCCAGGCTCCTCTGTCCAAGGGATTCTCCAGGCAACAACACTGGAGTGGATAGCCATTCCCTTCTCCAGGGAATCTTCCCAACCTAGGGGTTGAACCCGTGGGTCCCCTGCACTGCAGGCAAATTCTTTACCATCTGAGTCACCAGGGAAATCCAATAATAACTATGCAGCTTGATAAAATTTACCCCTTTTCAAAAGAAGCCATATGCAGAGTACATCATGAGAAACACTGGGCTGTAAGAAGCACAAGCTGGAATCAAGATTGCTGGGATAATGGGATAAATATCAATAACCTCAGATATGCAGATGACACCACCCTTATGGCAGAAAGTGAAGAACTAAAGAACCTCTTGATGAAAGTGAAAGAGGAGAGTGAAAAAGTTGGCTTAAAGCTCAACATTCAGAAAACTAAGATCATGGCATCTGGTCCCACCACTTCATGGCAAATAGATGGGGAGACAGTGGAAACAGTGTCAGACTTTATTTTTCCGGGCTCCAAAATCACTGCATATGGTGATTGCAGCCATAAAATTAAAAGACGCTTACTCCTTGGAAGGAAAGTTATGGCCAACCTAGACAGCATATTAAAAAGCAGAGACATTACTTTGCCAACAAAGGTCCATCTAGTCACAGCTATGGTTTTTCCAGTGGTCATGTATGGATGTGAGAATTGGACTGTGAAGAAAGCTGAGCACCGAAGAATTGATGCTTTTGAACTGTGATGTTGGAGAAGACTCGAGAGTCCCTTGGACTGCAAGGAGACCCAACCAGTCCATCCTAAAGGAGTTCAGTCCTGGGTGTTCATTGGAAGAACTGATGCTGAAGCTGAAACTCCAGTACTTTGGCCACCTCAGGCAAAGAGGTGACTCACTGGAAAAGACCCTGATGCTGGGAGGGATTGGGGGCAGTAGGAGAAGGGGACAACAGAGGATGAGATGGTTGGATGGCATCACCAACTCGATGGACATGGGTTTGGGTAAACTCCGGGAGTTGGTGATGGACAGGGAGGACTGGCGTGCTGCCATTCATGGGGTCGCAAAGAGTCGAACACAACTGAGCAACCTAACTGAACTGAAAAGAAGTTAAAATGAGAAACCACATGAAACAATTATAACTACAGTATGGAAGCATTTTATGAAGGAGTTAAGTTCCAAAGTCAGCGAGTAAAGAAAGGAAGGAAAAAAAAAAAAAATCACACCTAGCCAGAATTCGCCCTAGGAAAGCCCCACATTGGAGCTGACGTATAATCTTAGTGAGAAGACTAACACTAATGACCACTATTCTTAGGCTGACCACCATTTGGAGGCCATGTTGCATAATTTTTTATACTTCTAGACACTAACGTGACATTTAACATGACGCACTGCGGGGACTGCAGGAGGACTCAGGAGCGGAGCGCAGAGGCAGGAAGCGCAGAGCGCGGCGCCTCGCGCGCTCAGATGGGGCCTGCTGGGCAGCAGAGCAGGCACACGCACACCTCACATGTGTCTGATCACCCCTGCAGCCAAACTAACTGTACTGTTGAGATAAAGCAAGCATTGGTGTGGATGAAGTTCAAATTCATGAAGCATAACCACTGCAGCTGAGTGACAGGACTACATGAGTTCATGAGTTAAGTGCGTTAATTAGTAAACACCTTTGGACCAGTACACAGTAAGGCACTGAGTGTTCAACAAATTTTAACTTTCTAGGAAAGTACTGAAACACATTCCAAGTACAACAGCCAAGTTCTCACACCTAAAGGAGCTAAAGTGTAAAAAGCGTCTAGAAAGGAGAATGATCAACTATACTTGTTGGTACCTAGGATGGTCCTCTATCAATAAACTAATAGCTACCAGTTGCAGATACAGCGTGTTGTTCACTCAAAAGCATCTGAGTGGTGAGTGCTTTCTTGACTGCTCTAGGTGCTTCCCAGCACCTACTGTCAGCACATACTGTCACAGCACAGGTAAAGGAGACAAAGTCCTCCTTCCTCTCTTGGGGTTCTACTTCATAATGGCAGACACTTTCCAGATACTGAGATATAGTGGGAAAAACGGTCAGGGAAGAATTCCAAACAGTTAATATCTGAACCGAGAGAAAAAGAGTAAAACAATAAACCCCAAAACCAGCAACACAAATATCTGAGGAAAGATTTTATGCAAGGGGCACAAGAAGTATACAGGCCCTAAGGAGATATGCATTTGCTAATACCTTTAAGAGATGCCAGAATACACAAACTGAGGATAAGGCAGTTGCTAATGGGATCCATGAGGCAAATGGGGAGATCATGTGGGGTTTGGGCACCACACTAAGACCAGTTCAAGAGACAGTGAAAAAACCAAGCAGGGGTTGGGGTTAGGGTGGGTTTAGGCAAGGAAGGATCTTGTACTAAGTCAAGTAATCTACGCATGTTCAAATAGCTCTTGTAGACATATAAGTTATTAAGAACTAAGCACAGAACAAAGTCTATACTTTTGTGCTATACTCCAAAAAAAGTCAAAGGCCTATAACCCAATTTTGACACATAAATTTACTTATTTATAAACTTACAATAAGTTTTTAATAAGTTGCCAAAAATTCATCCAACAATTCAAAGAATTGGTTAAGTATATTACCTTATATCCACGATAGAATATCATATAGCCACTGAAAAGACATGTATCAATACAGAAATAATGTCAACATAGTGAATTAAAAGAATACAGAACCATATTTTTGTACTATTTAACTGTTAGAGAGTTACAGGCAATGAAAATTTCTGTAAAGATAGACAAAGAATAAGTTAGCTCTGGAGTGAGGAAACAATTATAAATACTCACTCTTTAGGGCTTCCCTGGTGGCTCAGAATCCACCTATAATGTAGGAGCCGCAGGAGACATGGATTACATCCCTGGGTTGGGAAGATCCCCTGGAGGACGGCATGGCAACCCACACCAGTATTCTTGCGGAGAATCCCATGGACAGAAGCCTGGCGGGCTACAGTCCATAAAGATTTTAGGTGGCAGAGTTGGACATGACTGAAGCAAACTGGCACGGCGCTTGTTATGAAGTTGTGAAAGTGGTTCAGCATTACAAATGCATCATATTAAATAATTACTTAATGTTAATTACAAACATGTGAGTTTTACAATTAAAAACTAGTTTTATGATTTTTATATGCAATTTAAAATTTACACATTTGCGGTATCCTACTATTAATGACAATGAAAAGCAGGAAGTCTCCCAGCTAATGGTATTGATTTCCTAACTGTTCTTATCAAGTGTCATTCATTGAACCAAAATGCAGGTTAGAACACTGACTTCAGTTTCTGATTTTTTTCCAAATAAGCATAACTCTTTTAAGGGAATCTGAAATGTGAAAGTAAAAGAGGAAAACAGAGCTGTTCTGAATAGAGCTGAACAGGGGATTCAGAGCCTGCTGTTTCAAGTGAAAAGGGTGGCACAAGAGTATTCTGAACAGATGAGCACTCCAGTGTTTGAATCAAAACTTGTGTTAGTTCTCTAGTACCAGATTTTTTTAAAGTATAAATTTCTTCAGTCTTTAACGTGAAGTCAAACGGCTTCCAAGTTGAGGAA